CGAGTAAGATTGTCTTCCATAAACACAGTTTTAACAGTGAGTTCATGACTGTGGAGGCCAATTCTGGATCCACACATCCTTCCACAGTGGGGACATAGGTTTCTGGGCAGGAGTTGATCACGGGGAGGGTTTGCCAAGAGTGTCTTCCTCTTAGCTCCTTTCTCCCTTTCGTCCTGAGTTTGAGTGTCTCCCTTTCATCTTGAGTTCAAGTGTTGATGGATGTTGCACATATATGGATGTTAGCTTGTTAATAATATATCTTTTCTAAACTATGACATTGTTCTTGGAGGTGACCAAAATGATGTGTTGAAACAACCCATTTGTGAGCAGTAATAGCTCTGCATTTGATCATCTTTCTTCTTTGGCAATCACTCGTAGCCAAGAAAGATTGTCTTCCATGAACATGGTCTTAATGGTGTGTCCATAAGTGACTGTGGAGGCCAATTCTGGATCCACACATCCTCCCACAGTGGGGACGTAGGTTTCTGGGTGGGAGTTGATCACATGAGGGTTTGCCAAGAGTGCCTTTCTCTTAGCACATTTCCCCCTTCTGTCCTGAGTTTGAGCATCTTCTAAACCCACAACACCTTTGGTAAAGGCTTTTCTCCAATTGGAGTGCTCACGGGCCAGTGTTTCCCAGTTGTCGGTGTTTATACTACTTTTTTTAGATTTGCCTTGAGAGAGTCTTTAAACTTCTTTTGTTGACCACCAGCATTACGCTTTCCATTTTTAAGTTCAGAATAGAGTAGTTGCTTTGGAAGACGATAGTAAGGCATCCGCACAACATGACCAGTCCAACGAAGTTCATGTTGAAGAATCATTGCTTCGACACTGGTGATCTTTGCTTCTTCCAGTACACTGGCATTAATTCACCTGTCTTCCCAAGTGATGTGCAAAAATTTCCAGAGACACCGTTGATGGAATCTTTTGAGGAGTTGGAGATGGCATTTATAAGTGGTCCATGTTTCATAAGCATCCTTTATATGCCCATTCAGTCACTGAGCACTACAGGTGAGGGCCTCCTGCAGATAACATCCTACCAGAAAGTACATCCTGCACAATACAGGAACTGGGCCTTTAGAGTTGTGGTTCCTACCCTCTGAAATGGCCTCCCATTAAATATTTGACAGGCACCATCTCTGTCTCTTTAGTAACAACTGAAGACCTTCCTCTTCCAGCTTTCCCAGTTTTCCTCTGTACTAGATTTTTTTTTTTTTTTTAAAAGTTAACAATTGTTTTATCACTGTGCTCCTTTGAGAGGAAAGGTGGTATATAAATTTAGTAAATAAATAATAAGTAACATTTTAACCTAATGTACAGTTTCATTTTTGCTATGGTTTCTCTGTTTGAATGGCTATTGTATATTCTGTTGTAACCAGGGCTGCAAGCTTTAAATCAGTTTAGGCCACAGTCTTGTACATACTTGCCCAGGAGTAAGCCCCACTGAACTTGGTGAGACTTATTTCTGAATAGACATGGATAAGACTTGTTTGCCAATTTAAAGATTAAATAATAATACATCTGATAGTCATAGAAAGCTTGACAATAAACCTGTTATAAAGTTTTTCAGAGTTATAGCTGGCTAATCAGTGTTGGCAAATGTTAATCGGTGAGCAGCTAAGGGGAACACATCTTTATAGTTCTTAAGCTACCTTCAGTATATCAACATCACACTTCTAGTGAAGGTTAGTGTTATGCGAATATGTTTAAATGTAACAGATGGTACTAACAGATTGAAAAGCATTACACACTGTTAGGAGCCAGGTGAAAACATCCCTCTTCAAGCAGGTCTTGGGTTGACTGGCATCCAATACCCTTTTACATGAGTTGTGGGAGGGGGGGTTATCAGTTTGTTGTCGTTCTTATTTTTACCGTGTATTTTGTGCTTTTTATATTGTAATTTTATGTTGTGAAGTGCCCTGGGACCTGCAGTTGAAGGGTGGCATACAAAAATTATTATTATTATTATTATTATTATTAAATAATAATTATTAAACTATTATTATTAATAATAATCAATAATAATAATAATAATATTTCAATACAAAGAGAAGTACCCGCTAACCAATTAATCAGGTTTCACTTTTTCATTACCGAAAACTTTTTAAATGACTAATTTAAATTGTTGATCACTCAAAAACTGAAACTCTATTTTCTGTTCTCTTCAGCTGCATTGTATGGGCAGGCTCATTCGTTCATCGAATGCTCGCAGCACTGAAACCTGCCTGTCTTCCCTTTTCATCTCTTTGTCCCAATATTGCTTTGTCATTCCTTCCCTCTTCCAGCAGATTGCAGAGTCATTCCATCTCAGAGCAGGTGGTGCATTGCTCTCCGGGTACCCTAGCCTCTGCCTTGCAGGGCACAGCCAAAGCAGCTGCTGCAATATTTTCTTACTCAGAGCTTTCCCCCGCCACCCACACCCCACACCCCCGGTCTCAATCAATTCCTTTCATCCAAAGAAGGCGCTACACTTGCATCATGGAATAGATTAATCTCTCTGCCACTTGCCAAGGCTCCCTGCTGCTTCTTTGCCATTCTCAGCATAATCTGCCTCTTTTCTTCCACATCGCAGTCAGAGGGAGTGCAGCAAACAAGCAGCTGAAAATACTTGCATATATTCTGCAACATCTCTGTTTTTCAAACGCCGTTTTATATTAATGCTATTAAGTCATGGGGAATGCACAGAAAGAATGCAGCACATAGATGGGGCTGACGACGACAACAACAGCAACACTGATGTAAAAATTGGGGTTTGGCTTTTGCTGCCCAGCTCCCCATAGGACTCTGAATCCCCTAAGTCCATGATCGGTCAGAGAAGAATGGATGGAGGCAGGATCCAGTGGAAAGCAAGGCAGATGTTTATTTTTCTGTTGCAACAGAGCCCCCCCCTCCTTCCAAGGAGGGAGAGACCCTGAACAAAAGTGTGCAGGAACCTTTAAAGACTTTTGACATTGCCCAATCCCCTTAGCCAAAGACCACCCCAAAATAATCATACATACACCATAGGAGACGGTTTGCAGCAGAAATCCTGTTTGCCAGGCTACATGATAATGGTTGCTGATTGCATTACCTGGGCAGCCTGGCTATTATTATTATTATTATTATTATTTTGCGATGTTTATTCCTTTAGTTCCTGAATCCAGGTCACAGGATCACCCTATTCATACACAAATATGCCCTTAAGACAGGATTTGTAAGTGAAAAGACAATGGGAAAGCTTTCCTCATTTGCCTCCCTTACTGCAGAGGAATATTTGAAGTCACTGGGAGAGTCAAAATGGCTTCAGGATTGCTCTCTTGTACTATTTCAGACAGCCACCATGAAACTGTGAGAGTACCAGGTCCCCACATTGAAAATTTTCACAGACACCCCCCAATGGCACACCTTGTTCCCAGAGAGATCATCACTGGTGATAAAAAATAGCTCAACCTTTCACCTTTTTTTTTTTTTTACCTTTACAGGAGTTTGTAAAAAAAAAAAAAAAGTAAAGGTAAAGGACCCCTGGACGGTTAAGTCCAGTCAAAGGAGACTATGGGGTTGTGGCGCTCATCTCGCTTTCAGGCCGTGGGAGCTGGCGTTTGTCCACAGACAGCTTTTCAGGTCATGTGGCCAACATGACTAAACCACTTCTGGTGCAACAGGACACCGTGACAGAAGCCAGAGCACACGGAAACACCGTTTACCTTCCTGCCACAGTGGTGCCTATTTATCTACTTGTGCTGGCATGCTTTTGAACTGCTAGGTTAACAGGAGCTGGGACAGAGCAACGGGAGCTCACCCCGTCACAAGGATTCAAACCACTGACCTTCTGAGCGGCATGCCCAAGAGGCTCAGTGGTTTAGACCAAAGCGCCACCCGCATCCCATAGGGCTTTGTACAGGAATAGCAAGACAGAATAAAGTTTGGGGAAAGATAACACAACTGAATGGGAATCATGTATGCATAAGGTGTGAGAATGGGATGCGGGTGGAGCTGTGGGTTAAACCACAGAGCCTAGGACTTGCCGATCAGAAGGTTGGCGGTTTGAATCCCCACGACGGGGTGAGCTCCCGTTGCTCGGTCCCTGCTCCTGCCCACCTAGCAGTTCGAAAGCAAGTCAAAGTGCAAGTAGATAAATAGGTACGGCTCCAGCGGAAGGTAAACAGCGTTTCTGTGCGCTGCTCTGGTTCGCCAGAAGCGGCTTGGTCATGCTCGCCACATGACCCGGAAGCTGTACGCCGGCTCCCTCGGCCAATAAAGCGAGATGAGTGCTGCAACCCCAGAGTCGGCCACGATTGGACCTAATGTTCAGGGGTCCCTTTACCTTTTAAGGTGTGAGATACTCAGTGGTGGCATCAGGGTGAGACTTTGGGACAGAGGCCCAGGACCCCACACCGCAAAATGAGCAGTGGGGTCCTCAAATGTAATAGGGTTAGCTTTCCATATTTCAAAGTAAGGGAAGTACATTACTGCATAAAGAGGGTGTGCGGTTATTAAATCCAGGGATGAAAAGCACAAACTCTTCCACTGGAGATGCTGAATCTGTGTTGCCACTTGTAAATAATATCTGCCATTTTCCCCAGATTCCCAATGCACAAGAACACACATCAGTGCTTTCGTTTAATAGCAACCCTTACAAATCTAAGCTTGACATTACACCTATTTTGCAGCTGGAGGCTCTAGCTGACTACTTTTTCAATCATGACTTTAATGCCAACTCTTGCATCATGTTACAGACGGATGGTTTCCCAGCAAATATTTTATCGTTATGGTAGTTTTTGCAATATGCAATTGCCGCACACTATAACCATATATTATGAACGCTGTAATCTAATTGGTTAATTAACGAAAAGCCTGGGAGTTAATCTGATTTTTAAAATAAATAAATCAATGGTTGACCACCCTAAATGCAACACAAATGTGACTGCGCTCAAATAAAAATGCTGTCATGATTTAGCATCTCGGTGATCTGTTTCCAATTGCTTTGGCATCCTGCAACACAGGAAATATTTGCTGTATTTCTATGCAGAGAACAACATTTTGGAAGGTCTGTTAACTCTGCTATCACAGCAGGTGTTTTTAAAGGCCTCGTATTTTTCCAGCTGTACTCTCTGAGCAAAACAAATAAATAAAGTCAGCAACTGATCAGAAGAACTTCTCTCCAGATTCTGTCTCGCATATTGCTTTGTTTCGCTGTAGAGAACAGAAGAAATGAAAAGTCAACTGAGTGTTTCTTAACATACGAATTTAGGAAGGCATAAACATTTAAGCTGGCAAGTTCAGTTAAGTGATGGCAATCTTACATGCCAAAGGGAGGGTTTTACTGAGCTTGCTATAACCATCTGAAATGCCTCCACCTGAACTAGATTGCACAGATCTGTTTGCAATGTCCTGGGAATATCCATGGGTAGATATGTTTGTTGGGGATCATGTAATGTTTTGCCTCAGTACTCTTCCCTCAACAAAGAGATGACTGATTTAGCACAGCCTGACCGCAGGCTAAGCGAGAAACGTTTTAGCCAATAACACACAGTAGTTGGGCCAAACTGCTGGGCTTGATAAACCATTTCACCCACAAGTGAAACCTGAAAAATGAAAGTTCCTGGTTCAAGACCAGAGTATTGCTAAGCATTTGTAGCAAATGTTGCATTCGGAGGCTCGGGAGACTGCTAAACTTTCCACTGCCTGCCCTGAAGCAGGGAAATTCCATTACTGCTTCCCGACCTTGTATGTTTCTGCTAAGGAATCTAATACAGCCTGTTGTCAAAGATTAAGGATAAATGGACCTTTGGCCTAATCCACTGCAGCTGTTTTTATAACAACAAAAACAGTTGTTCATGAGGCCTTATCTGAGCCTTGTTCAACCATATAAATTATTTTGATGGCTAATCACTGAAACAAGATAACCTGGTTTATCTACTGCTGGAAACTTCAGAGCAGCCACAATTACACAGCCCCTTCCTAGCAACTTTTGCTCAAAACTTGTTAGGTTTAAGTAATAAACATCTGGCCCAGTGTTTCCCAGTGCCTGTGCTGGATGGGAGTTATGGTCCAATCTATCTGGAGGGAACTGGGTTGGTGAAGATTGACCTAGAAGGATATAGGAACGGGTCTAAAAGGCCACATAGCTTACCCTCCTTGACATCTGGAGGGAGGGCGTTCCACAGGGTGGGTGCCACTACCGGGAAGGCCTTCTGCCTGGTTCCCTATAACCTCACAGGGAGGGAACCGCCAGAAAGCCCTTGGAGCTCAACAATGGGGTTGGAGACGCTCCTTCAGGTATACTAACATTCAGCTGCTCCTGTCTCTCACCTAGGAGCAAGCTGATCCACAGTCACCTATGGGGGGGGATTCCCTTGCCATCATCACATGCCCAAAGAAGAGACCCCAAAGGGATACTGTTGTAAACAAAATCTGCCCTTTTTCCCTTATGGGGTATCCAAGAGCCCGTATAGAGTCCTTACGTGGTGTCAGGGAACTGACATCAGAGCGGGAGGCGAAGGGGAGGCTCCTAGATGATGCTGGAGAAGGACCCAGCAGCAGGGGGAGAAGCAACTCAGTGGAGGGGGAAGCATTTAAGCGCAACACCAGGAACAAAAGTGAGCAGATGGGGAAATCGGAGAGAGGGCTCACGGACTCTTCACTGGAACTCAGTGAGGAGGGGACAGGTCCCCCGCTACCTACGCCCACCCTGCGCAGAAGGCTCCCGCGCAGTGAGAGGCGGAGGAGATTGGGTGTCAAACAACTCTTATGTTGGAAGAGATTCAAGAAACGCCCACTGACGGATTCTGCTAGTGACTGAGACAGTCATGATGAGAAAGGGCTGTGCAGTCAGAAAGGTTTAACAAGGCAAATTAGCCTAGAGAGGCACCAGTTTACGCACGAGTAACTCATACTCATCACACGTGGGTTCCCTATTGGTAGGAGAAAATAACAGAGGCCAACCAGAGAATATTGAGAAGCAAAGCAGCTAGTAAGCCTGATCTTTATTAAACTGTTGCAACAGGGTGCTCCCCTCACACGCAGGAGGACGGAGGAGGACCCAGAACAAAGGTGTGCCTGCCCTTATATAGACATTTTAATTTCCCTGCCCGGGAGCTCAAGACCACTCCTCCATACTTCATACATACATCACATTATACATACATCACAGAACCCAAGACCACCCCCCAGAAACATCATACCTATATCACAGAAAAGGTGGTCTACAACAGAAATTTGAATGTTGTTGTTTTTCCTGTCTGCCAGGTTATCTGATAATGCCTTATCTGACTGCCTTTCCTGGTAGTCTGGCCATTCCTTTGAAATGGTGATTACCCAATTCCTGAGACAATGGGAAGGTTCCCTCACCCCCTCCCTCCTTGCAGAGCAAACATTTGGTCAGTTTGGGAGTCAAAATGGTTTCAGGACGGTCTTCCTGTGCTGCTCCAGACATGTGGTTTATATATTTATGTACGTGTTTGCTTGGTACATTTATGAACATTTATTACATATCGAAGACCTTAAAATTCTTATAACAATATTCATATATTGGTTTGAGAAGCGCAAACGGGGTAGTTTCTCATTAAAATGCGAGCAAAATCAAATTTCTCCTTCACTTCTATTCCAGAAGACATCAGCCAAATCAATGGAAAGAACTGATAATACCGTTTGTCCAAAACGGTGGTTTTGTGTTCTCTCGGAAAAGAAAATTTAATTGTAGTGTAACTGAAGAAAGATGGGGAATTACAGGTCATCGTCTGAGGGCTAACCCCTCCCTCCCATTTTATTACTGCAATCTGAGCCTCATTGTTCATACCCCATATGCGAGAATTGCATAAAGACCTGAAGCCAGGACTCCTGCTGACGGGGATTTTACTTGGCTGTTGCATGAGCCCTTCTCTGCCAAGGCACCTCATGGCTGTCATGCAGCCCTTATGTTGAGCCTCTGGTGAGCACAGATGGGAGATGGAGCCAATTTACGCTATCCATTTAATTTAAATACCTGCTGTATGATTTTCCCATTTGTGGTTTATTATTTCAAAATGTTGCAAGATGCATTGGATAGACAGCTGCCGTCAGAATGATAACATCTTCTACACCCCAAGTCGAGTGCGCAGCCAACGCTACAAATGAGCCTTGTGGAAATTAGCTGGGAACAGTCATCCTTAGCTGCAACTTATTGAAATGGCCTTCTTTACCATTAAGGAGATCTGCATTCGCATTTGCTAAATGCAAATCGATTGCTCTAATTGGAAAGACGTGCCTATAGTGGGAAGCAACATGGAAGCTACATATGCCGAAACGGAAGGAAACAAATTTAATCTTCAAATTGCCGAAAAGAAAAGTATGGACTGGGTGGTATCCAAGACTAGTATCCTACTCAGAGTAGACCCATTGGAATAGATGGACAGGACTAACTTAGGGCCATTAAGTTCACTGAGTCAACTCTGGGTAGGATTTAGTTGAATACAGCACACTGTTTTTAATGCCACTTTGCAGTTTGGAGATTGTGGCCTAGGACCCTCGTACCTACAGGACCGCCTCTGCTGGTATGCCCCGCGGAGGACCTTAAGGTCCACAAATAACAACACTTTGGAGGTCCCAAGCCGCAAGGTGGTTAGGTTGGTCTCAACTAGGGCCAGGGCCTTTTCAGTACTGGCCCCGACTTGGTGGAACACTCTGTCGCAAGAGACTAGGGCCCTGCAGGACTTGACATCTTTCCACAGGGCCTGCAAGACAGAGCTGTTCTGCCTGGCCTTTGTTTTGGACTCAGTCTGACCCTTATTTTTCCCTCCCCTTATGGTTTTGATTTATGGGCTACTATTAAAATGAGGCTGCATTTTAAATTGTATTTTACCCCATATTTTAATAAACTGGTGTCCCCCCCCCCCATTATGTTTTATTGTAATTTTATTGGTGTTAGCCACCCTGAGCCCAGCTTTGGCCGGGGAGGGCAGGGTATAAATAAAAAATTATTGTTATTATAAAGATAAATATTGTTGTTGGTTTTTTCCAAAACAGGGGAATGTTCTCTTCAAATGCAACTTGTCCCCATGACCACCACGTTCCCTCAGGTGCAAATATCTAGACACAGCTTATAATAATAATAATAATAATTTATTATTTATACCCCACCCATCTGGCTGGGCTTCCCCAGCCACTGTGGGTGGCTTCCAACAAAATATTAAAATACAGTAATCCATCAGACATTAAAAGCTTCCCTAAACAGGGCTGCCTTCAGATTTCTTCTAAAAGTCTGGAGTTGTTGTTCTCTTTGACATCTGGTGGGAGGGCATTCCACAGGGAAGGTGCCACTACCGAGAAGGCCCTCTGCTTGGTTCCCTGTAACCTGGCTTCTCGCAGTGAGGAAACCGCCAGAAGGCCCTCGGCGCTGGACCTCAGTGTCCGGGCTGAACGATGGGGGTGGAGACACTCCTTCAGGTATACTGGACCGAGGCCGTTTAGGGCTTTAAATGTCAGCACCAACACTTTGAATTGTGCTCGGAAATGTACTGGGAGCCATTGTAGGTCTTTCAAGACTGGTGTTATGTGGTCTCGGCGGCTGCTCCCAGTCACCAGTCTAGCTGCTGCATTATTGGTTTGGAAATCAAATAAGGCCACATCTTTATTGGTTACGGATATGAAGGTTTGGCCGTAGGCATTCAGCTAAGCAACTGCATGTGTCATTCCCAACCATCCACTGGGAGTGTTTTTAGAAGAGTATGGATTTGATATCCCGCCTTTCACTCCCCTTCAGGAGTCTCAAAGCGGCTAACATTCTCCTTTCCCTTCCTCCCCCACAACAAACACTCTGTGAGGTGAGTGGGGCTGAGAGACTTCACAGAAGTGTGACTGGCCCAAGGTCACCCAGCAGCTGCATGTGGAGGAGCGGAGACGCGAACCCGGTTCCCCAGATTAGGAGACTACCACTCTTAACCACTACACCACACTGGCTCCCTTTTAAGGGTGAAGCCACTGGGGGGGCGGGACACCCTATGACCTACATCAAATCAGGGCATCCCCCAAGCAGTCCCCATTGGAGGAGTGGTATGGCCCTAGCCCTCATCTGGGCATCAGACAGGAGCCACTCCTCCTGGATTATTTTAACAGGATACCTTTACCCGTGGAGGGGCAGGCAGAGGCTACAACCTCTCCTCCAACCAAGTCTAGACTTACCCAGTGCCTATCCGCCTTCCAAAGTTGTGACGATTGTTATGAGGTAGGCAAAAACCCAAATGGTGGAGCCACTTTGCCAGATGGGAAAAACTTCCTGCCTGGCCCCTAAATCTGGCGATTGACATGGTCCATAGAAAGGCCATAAGAAAAACCTAATGTGAGGGAGAACCGGTGCGGTGACAGAGACGGAAAAGGCCCTGCATGCCGGGCATTTATCCCTGCCCTGGGTGTGGTGCCAAGTGCTACTACTGGTCAGTTGGCACCGTGCCCAGGGGAATGCCCCCAGTATTCCTGCCGCCATTGGTCAGGAGGACGAATCTGGCTAGTTCACAGGGGAGGCCCAGGGCCCAACCGCAATGCCGCCCACCCGAGGAGGGCAAACTAACTTATCTCACAACACAGTAAAAGGTAAAGGAACCCTGGCCATTAGGTCCAGTCGTGGCTGACTCTGGGGTTGCAGCGCTCATCTCGCTTTATTGGCCAAGGGAGCCAGCATACAGCTTCTGGGTCATGTGGCCAGCATGACTAAGCCACTTCTGGCGAACCAGAGCAGCGCACGGAAATGCCGTTTACCTTCCCGCCGGAGCAGTACTTATTTATTTACTTGCACTTTGACGTGCTTTTGAACTGCTAGGTTGGCAGGAGTAGGGACCGAGCAACGGGAGCTCACCCCGTCGAGGGGATTCGAACCGCTGACCTTCTGACTGGCAAGTCCTAGGCTCTGTGGTTTAACCCACAGTGCCACCCGCGTTCCAACACAACACAGTAGTAAGGAACACAGTCCGAAGACTTCAGAGCGTGCCAGTCAAGCAGGGAAGCAAGCCTTCTTACATAGGAATCAATGAAACATGAAACTATATTTAAACTATTGATTTTGCCCCAGTAAATTGGCCCATTGGCTTCAACAGAACCCCTCTTTGCTGCACATCATTTCTCAGAGATCAGCCCTTTGTTTTGTCAGACATGGACCAAAGGAATGGGTTAGATATTTCTGTTGCATGGCTGGCATTTTAATAGGAGAGCTGGCCTCTTGAAACCACCATGTATCTCTGATCCCTGACTTTGCATCCCATTAGGTTTCAATCTTTTCTTTTCTTCTCAGTTATTTGATATGAACATTTCATATTGGTTCATTAATTGATTTAGAAGGTGGACTTTAAATCAGAGTTGTTCATGTACAAACAACATGCCTATAATCAACTATCTATTCTCTTGCCAGGCAATCAATGTACAAGCTTCCTACTCTCAAATGGAATTTCTGCCACAGTTTTTACCGAGGTTAAAATCTATGCATGTTCAATTAATATTCGCATCTCCATGAGTTACTATCATTTCCATGTCCATTGACGAACTGTAAGGTAATGAAGAGCTTTCGGTCAAATGAAAGCATGTGGGCTATGTGTACTATTGCATGATAGAAGAAAAATAAAGTTACTTAAAGGGGCAAGAAAGGAGGTGAACAGATTCACTATCTGCTTCCTTAAGCAGGGAACACACCTCAAACAAATACATACAATCAGTACTTTTTTCTGGGGGAACGCATACCCCTAAACATTTTGCGAATCTTTGTACTTTTGGCCATTTACTGTATTTATTTTTCCTGATTTGAACTATAAAATGGTGATTTTCTTGAGTCAAAATGAGGGTACCCCTAAACTTTTTTTTTAGAAAAAAAAAGCACTGCATACAATTGCACATGAGGTCAAAAACAATTTTTTTTTACATAATTTATTTTTTACAATTTAGAGTATTCATTTAAACAACCTTAAAATATCAGTGACTTCCATTCTTCTCTTTCCATGGTTCATTTTGCATATCATAAATCCCTGCATATTTTACATAAAGTAGACCAGGGGTCAGCAAACTTTTTCAATAGAGTCCACTGTCCCTCAGACCTTGTGGGGGGCCAGACTATATTGGGGGGGGTAACAAATTCCTATGCCCCACAAATAACCCAGAGGTGCATTTTAAATAAAAGGACACATTCTACTCATGTAAAAACACACTGATTCCCAGACCATCCGTGGGCCGGATTTAGAAGGCGAAACCGACTCCCGAGTCTTGTTTGCCTACCCATGAACTAGACCATTCAGTATTCCATTATTACATCCATCAAAACTTATTTACACTGTTGAATTTATCTTTATGCTGCCAACATTTTCAAGTGTACACAATTCCCCCCCATATATACAATAAAGATTTTCCAATCTTCTCTAAATGTATGTTCTTCTTGTTCTCTTATTCTATGTTAGGTCTGCAAGCTGCACATATTCCATCAGTTTAAGTTGCCTACGTGAGGTCTAATTTCACAGAGAGAATCTGTATTCCAAGAGCTAAATGTTTCAGCAGTACAGTGGTACCTCAGGTTAAGTACTTAATTCGTTCTGGAGGTCCGTTCTTAACCTGAAACTGTTCTTAACCTGAAGCACTACTTTAGCTAATGGGGCCTCCTGCTGCTGATGCACCGCCGGAACACGATTTCTGTTCTCATCCTGAAGCAAAGTTCTTAACCTGAAGCACTATTTCTGGGTTAGTGGAGTCTGTAACCTGAAGCGTATGTAACCTGAAGCGTATGTAACCCGAGGTACCACTGTACAGTCATACCTTGAATCTCAAATGCCTTGGCGTCCGAACAAATTGGCTCTCAAAAGATCGAAACCCGGAAGTGAGTGTTCCAGTTTTTGAACGATTTTTGGAAGCCAAGTGTCCGTCATGGCTTTCATGGCTTACGATTGGCTATAGGAGCCAATCAGAAGCCGCACTTTGGTTTCCAAACGTTTTGGAAGTCGAACGGATTTCCGGAATGGATTCCACTTGACTTCCAGGATCCCACTGTATATTTCTTCTACCTTCCCCATCAAAACAAACATTGTTTCCACACTAACTTGATGATGCCATTTTTTTTTACGCTAGTGGGCATGTTCATATGAAAGTTAGATTTCGTTCTATTTCAGCATTGTTACCTGCCCCTCAAATGAGAGGGCATGAAATTGGTTAAAAATGTAAGCAAACAGAAAGACCCTCATGACAGAGGGAATCTCACCCGAGGGATAAAACTAAGTGAAGCTGTAATGGGTAAATGACCGAAGCCAACAGAAGGACAGTCTGCTTGGCTCCCCTGAGATGCAACCCAGCTGTATTTGTGCCTGGGACTAATAGGCAATTGGAGGAAATGTTGCTGTAAGCTTTGAACTGTGAATCCCCAGAAGGATAATTCAGCCTGGCTGTCTTGTTGTCATGGTGACAAAAAAGTACCACTATTTATTTTAATGTTACCTTATGCTGCTTGTCAGGGAGTGAAAGGGGACTGCTGTATATAATAGTTAAAGGGCACAACATACTTGCAGCGGTGACTCCCAGGCATTCGGATTAAAAACCCATTTGCAAAGCTTGACAGCTGGGAGCAGGCTTCCCCAACTTCCCTCCAGATGTTGTGGGACTCCTGACCTTAGCAAGTTCTTCCAGTGGCCGGGGAGGCTAAGCTGTGTTCTTCCAGATGTTGCTGGACTACAACTCCCATCATCCCATGATCATGGGCCATGCTGCCTGGGGCTGATGGAAATTGGAGTCCAATAACATCTGGAGGGCACCAGGCTGGGAAAGACTGGCCAACCAACTTGGGTCCAGATTACAAGTGGCTGCCATTTGCCCTGGGAAGGAAGTTGCTATTAGATTCTTGACCTATGCCACAATTCAATACAATACAATACAATACAATACAATACAATACAATACAATACAATACAGTGGTACTTCAGGTTACAGATGTTTCAGGTGACAGACGCTTCAGGTTACAGACTCCGCTAACCCAGAAATAGTACCCTGGGTTAAGAACTTTGTTTCAGGATGAGAACAGAAATCGCACGGTGGCAGCGGGAAGCCCCATTAGCTAAAGTGGTACCTCAGGTTAAGAAAAGTTTCAGGTTAAGAACGGACCTCCAGAACGAATTAAGTTCTTAACCTGAGGTACCACTGTAAAGTAAAGTAAAGTAAAAAGTAAAGTAAAGTAAAGTACCATTGCTGAGGCATTCTTTATGGAATTTTCTGCAAATCAATCACAACGTGGATTCTCCCTGTCAAATTTCCTATTGACTGGACAACTTCTCTTTTCTCTTTTCTTTTTGGTGAGATAAGCAGCTTCATATAACCAACATGCTTAAGTCTAATTAATTCATGAAAGGGTTAACACCATAGAGTAAGTTGTCCTGCCAGACTTAGCTCAGCTTGGGAGGGGCTAGGTAATCAAACTTTTGCTTACTCAGTCACCTTAGAAGCTCAGCATGTATAAAGGTCTGAGCTGGTTGCTCCAAGCTCAGATTGCATGGTTCTTACAAGTCATTCTTGTGTTCCTATACCAATAATTTAGGAACTTTCACCACTGTAGCTAAGCCAAGTTTTACTGCCTGTGTTTTCTGGCTGATGTATGGAAAAGCACATGAATCTGACCTTTGGAGAGTTTGTAAGTAAACCATTTTTAATTTACCAAATGTGTTGTCTTTCCTAGGCTAAGAGACGAGAGAAGTTTTAGAACTCACAAGGGCATATTTCAAAGGTCTGATAGTCTATATTTCCATGTTTGCTGCATATTTTGCGATTTTAAATCTCTGCTGGGGTTCCCTCACCAAAGAGTACTTGCCCCAAACCTGGATCTTGGCATCCAGCAAATTCTCTTTTTATACTTATTTTTATCCTTGCCACCAACAGATTTTAGAATGATTTTTTTAAAAGCTTCCTTTCTTTAAAAAAGTATTCTTTTATCCTACTTTTCATACCTCCCATCCAAAGTAGTTGCTTGTTACTTAGAGGTAGAGGGTAAGGTGAGAGGGATGGGGAGCTCAGTGTGGCGGAGACAGTCCAGCTCTCCTGCTGTGCTTGCACCACTCTGTGCTCCACATGCCTCCCTTTCTCAGGAACTGGCAGCGACTCTTGGCATTGGGATGGCAGGTGAGTGGTCTTCACTGACCACTGCTGTAAACAGGCAGATTTGTACACAATTGCTGGTTTTCCCTTGCTGGTGTTTTGCCTGGGTGGAAGTATTGCAGCTATTGGTACCAGATGGGTAGAAAATCGCCTGCTCTTGATGAGGTTATATTCATCAAGAGAACCAGTGTGGTGTAGTGGTTAAGAGCAGTAGACTCGTAATCTGGTGAACTGGGTTCGTGTCTCCACTCCTCCACATGCAGCTACTGGGTGACCTTGGGCTAGTCACACTTCTCTGAAGTCTCTCAGCCCCACTCACCTCACAGAGTGTTTGTTGTGGGGGAGGAAGGGAAAAGAGCCGCTTTGAGACTCCTTCGGGATATCAAAGTGGGATATCAAACCCAACTCTTCTCTTCTTCTCTTCCTCTGAAGGAGCAGGTTCGTAGCTTGGGGGTCCTCCTGGATTCTTTGCTGTCACTAGAGGCTCAGGGGGCCTCAATGGCCTTCCATCAGCTTCAGCTGGTGGCCCAACTACAAGGGGCGATCAAAGGCTAACCGGTACCCAGTGCGGGGTGTCGGCGGCGCATGTGTGTGTGCTGCCACGTATGGCACACACGCATGTGCCATACATAGCGGCGCCGCACATGCACCGCCGGGTGGTTTGTTGATAGCGCTGCTTGAGCACCGTATGGATGGTGGCAGGATCCTCTGCTCGCAGCTGCAGCGGTGTGATGGTGGCGGCTTGCATTGCTGCTCCCGGGGGGTGGGGTGGGGCGAGCCTCCCACGATGTGCCTTCTTGTCACCCCCTCAGAGATGGCACCTGGGGCGGACCGCCCCCCCTTCCTCCACCGCTGCCAGCTACACACTGATCTGAACAGGGATAGCCTAACTACTGTTGTCTATGCTCTGGTAACTTCAAGGTTCAATTACTGCTGCGTGTTATATGTAGGGCTGCCTCTGAAGACGGTTTGGAAACTTCAACTAGCGCAGAATTCAGTGGCCAGGTTGCTCACCGGAGTTGTTTTCTACTGCTCCAGAGAAGCGGACACGGAGCAATGGATCCAAACTACAAGAAAGAAGATTCCACCTAAACATTAGGAAGAACTTCCTGACAGTAAGAGCTGTTCGACAGTGGAATTTGCTGCCAAGGAGTGTGGTGGATTCTCCTTCTTTGGAGGTCTTTAAGCAGAGGCTTGACAACCATATGTCAGGAGTGCTCTGATGGTGTTTCCTGCTTGGCAGGGGATCGGACTCGATGGCCCTTGTGGTCTCTTCCAACTCTATGATTCTATGATTTTATGATTCTATGATTCTAAGACGGTTTGAGCATATTACACCGATCCTGGTCCGACTGCACTGGGTACCAATTAGTTTCTGGGCTGAATTCAAAGTGCTGGTTTTGACCTATAAAGCCTTAAATGGCTCAGGACCACAATACCTCAAGGACCACCCCTTTCCATATGAACTTGACCCTGAGATCATCTACTGAGTCCCTCCTTCATGTGTCTCCTCTTCGAGAGGTCTGGAGGGTGGCAATACGAGAACGGGCCTTATCTGCAATGGCTCCCCATCTGTGGAATGCTCCCTCCGGGGAAGTTCACCTGGTGCCTTCATTATAAAACTTTAGGCGCCAGGCAAAAATGTTCCTTTTTAATGAGGCCTTTGGTTGATTTGATTGACATCCTATGCCCTTTTAAAATATGGCTCTCTTTTGGGTTGTGGTTTTTATTTTGATTATATATATTGTGGTTTTATATTTTGATTTTGTTCTGTGAACTGCCCTGATACCTCCAAGTATAGGGCAGTATATAAATTCAATAAATAAATTAAATAAAAATAAATTTTGGAAGGTCCTTATTTCTCTAACCTGTGGCAGTCTCCAGAGTCTACTTTTGCATTCCCAGTCCAAGAGGCATTGGGAGTTCAGTGTTCTTCTAGAAACAAGCTTCCCTCTCTGGCCGATGGATGGGACCAGACTGTTCTTCCTGGAAAAGAGAGAGAAACAGTGGACAATCTACCAGTCAATTTCTTTGATCTGGCCAGTGGCAGAAGCCAGAGTGTGCTCCTCTTTGATTCTGTAGCTTCAAGATACCTGGTGGTTGGAGCAGTTTTCTTTCTTGTATGGAGAAGGAAAGCAAGCTCCTGGCAACTACTCTTTCTCTGGCTGATGGCTGGGTCCAGGGTGTTCTTCCTGGAAGAGAGAGTGCATGGGATTGGGTCTGTTGGGATTTGGTAGTCCAATCCATCAACATCTAGAGGGACAATGGCTCCCCATCTTTTTTTATTCTTCTTCTGTGATGCTTCAAAGCCCTATACAGCCTAGGACCTTCGTACCTACGGGACCGCCTCTCCTGGTATGTCCCACGGAGGACATTACAGTCTTTAAATAAAAAACATCTTGGAGATCCCAGGCCACAGGGAGGTTAGGCTGGCCTCAACCAGAGCCAGGGCTTTTTCGGCCGTGGCCCCGATCTGGTGAAATGCTCTGTCACAAGAGACTAGGGTCCTGCAGGACTTGACATCTTTCCGCGGGGCCTGCAAGATAGAGCTGTTCCACCAAGCCTTTGGCCAAGGCACAGTCTGACCCCCTCCTTCGGTAATCCTCATAGAACTCTAGCCCAATGGTTGCCATTAATTTGATTCTGAATTAATTTTAGAATGTATTTCAATTAATTGATTGTGATTTTATGTAAACTGTGTTATTTTTACTGTTGTTAGCCACTCTGAGCCCAGCTTTGGCTGGGGAGGGCAGGATATAAATAAATTATTATTATTATTATTATTATTATTGAGTGGGGAGGTTGGTGACTGCTTTTGCTCAGCTGATGAAACTGAATGAAATATTGTAATTTGAGCATGCTTTATCAACGAACCTCTTCTTCCATCTGTACACAAGCAATGCAAATGATACTTATGTACCACTGTCACCGAAAGGGATGCCATCTGGTGGCCCTCTTCCAAATGTACACTATGGAACACCAACATGAGTTATAAAGGTTATATAATTATATCTAGAGTTCCCAACTTTTGGAGTTGGGGCGTCAAGTTTTCCTGTACACATTTAGCTGCTAAGGGACTCACTTCTCCATTTTGTCAGACCATCCTGCAGTTTAAACAGTCCACATGCAAGATCTGTTCAGGGCCCATCTATCCTTCATCTGCCCTACTTGAAACATCACTGTTCATTTGATATGGTATAAAGTTGAACCTTGGTAGAAACCACATCTAATGTTGTCTGTTGAAACAAGGTAGAGCTTCATTCTAGTCCAAAATGAAAGCCCTGATCTTGCTCTTGCAATCAGGAATTCTTTCAGGCAAAGGTGAGAGTTAAGAAATAATCACTTTTGAGTACTGTACACCTGAAACCTCCCCTCCAAACCTACTTAATTAATTCAAATAATATTTCTGTGATAACACTGATCTCAATCAAACCCTACATAGGGGTATCTGGGGCCAGTTATTTTGACACCCAGTAAAAGATCTGTCAGGCTGGCAACTGTAAAGGTAAAGGACCCTTGGATGGTTAAGTCCAATCAAAGGCAACTATGGGGTTGCAGCACTCATTTTGCTTTCAGGCTGAGGGAGCTGGCATTTGTCAGACAGCTTTCTGGGTCATGCACTTCTGGTGCAACAGAACACCATGAGGGCATTTACCTTCTCACTGCAGCGATACCTATTTATCTACTTGCACTGGTGTGCTTTCGAACTGCTAGGTTGGCAGGAGCTGGGACAGAGCAATGGGTGCTCACCCCGTCACAGGGATTCAAACTGCCGACCTTCCAATTGGCAAGCCCAAGAGGCTCCGTGGTTTAGACCACAGTGCCACCTGCGTTCCTTTTGGCAACTGTATGTTAAATATTTTTGGTATAGCAAGTGCCTTATGTGACTGAGTCATTCACCACCTACCACTTTGTCAGCACAGTTGGCCAAGCATTTGAGGATTCATAGCTATAACAGTCATAGCATCCATTTCTTTGCAGGGGTTCTGTAAGCAATCCCTCCTCTTGCTGGGAACTTCAGATGCAATCACATTGAAAGTATATGCTCTAAGTTCAAACTACCAAAGAGCAGCAGTGAATCACTTGCTTTGCTGCATAGACCGACTGATGAATTCCTAACCATAAAAGTGTCCCCAATGCAGTGCAATCCTATTGCATATTTACTCAGAAGTAAGTCCTGCTGGGCTCCATGAGAATTATACAATGTGTACACAGGAGTGGGAGCCTTATCCATTTTACTCTTTGATGACGACTCTTTGCAGAATGATTATCTCTGAAAGCAGATAAGGTGCTAAAAGGGTTGAAATTGATTTCCTAGGATATTTGCTTTATTCCTTTCTTTGCTTCCATCCCTCCATCTCCAAGAGGAAGGTCAACTATCAATATTCACTTCTTGAGATGTTTATCCCTATTTTCACCTCCTGTTGCTAAAAACTAAATATTATTTATATTTTTGTTTTGTTTTGTTTTTTGTTTTAAAAAAAATCACCAAAAGTTCCCAGGGTGGGCTACAACAATTTTAGAAAGAGAGTCTAAAATTACAGTAAAAGCATAATAAGAGCAGCAGCATATCATTACAGTAGCTATTGATATTGTCTTATTCTTTTTTCCATTTTAAATATCTGTATAAATATTTAAGGTTCTATGTGTCATAATGCTGTAGAATCAAACAACATTAAATCCACAATAACATCACCCAGCCTAATCGGATGAAAATCAAATCAAATATTAAAAACTGTTTCAGTACCCATTTCAACCAACAGACCCTGATGGATTTTTTCCACTACAATTCTATGATAAATGGGTCTTGTCTTGAAGCCCATTCTTACAACAACATGCATTGACTGAGACAGGTACCCAGTGTGATGGGGCACCCTGTTATTATAACTCACTCTCACCCACCCCCAAAATTATTTCAGGCTTTCTGTTCACAACTCCCCCTTACGCTTTCGCTCAAGATCCTATGCTCTGCCTCTGAATACATGCCAGCTTCCTCTGAGTAGAAAATTATGTAAAAAGACAAAAGAAGGAAGTCAAGATACTCAGTTCAACAGAGGCTTTATAGAAACTGTTCTGGGAACTGAGAAGCTCAACCTCCTGCCTATGCCAAGTACAAACATCTTCTTGCTACTCGAAGTGATGTGATGTGGTAGAGCTGGAAAAAATCAGCATGGATAAAACCTCTTCTTCATCTCAAAAGAGAAGAAAAATGTTCCTTCGTCATTTTCTCCTCCCGACACATTCCTCAAAGAAGGTTAGTATTGGGAGAGGGGACGATATTGAGATCACCTGCAGTGAGATTTTAACATGGGGCTATATCCAAATAGCTCACCGGAAGGACAAATTGTGAAGCTGAGGCTCCAATACTTTGGCCATCTCATGCGAAGAGAAGACTCCCTGGAAAATACCCTGATGTTGGGAAAGATGGAGGGCACAAGGAGAAGGGGACGGCAGAGGACGAGATGGTTGGACAGTGTTCTCAAAGCTACCAGCATGAGTTTGACCAAACTGCAGGAGGCAGTGGCAGACAGGAGTGCCTGGTGTGCTCTGCTCCATGGGGTCATGAAGAGTCAGACACGACTAAATGACTAAACAGCAACAAATATCCAAATAAGGAATCCCTACTTAAGGCTGGGAGAACCTATGACTTTCCTGGTATAGTTGTACTCTGACTTCCATCAGCTCCAGCCAGCACAGTCAATGATCAGGGAAGACGGAAGTTATGATAATGGTCAATGATCAGGGAAGATGGTTATCCCTGTGGGGTAACCGTCCTCATATAGCCAACATGCAACAGTATAATTAGTGCATGAAGGGGTTAATACCATAGAGTAAGCTGTCCAGCCAGACTTACCTATGTCCACTTCCCCTCACCTTGGGAGGAACTAGGTAAGCAAGCCTAGGAATATTTAGGAAAATCCTCAATGATACACAAGGCAATAGATATTGGTCATAATATAGATATGGAAACACGGGAACGACTGTGGAATGTGGATATAAAATTTACAGCCTGTTATGGTTTAAGAGGAAATTATATGAAAATAATATATCATTGGTATGTAACACTGAGTAAACTGGCAAAAATGTATAAATCTAAATCAAACAAATGTTGGAAATGTAAAGAGAAAGAAGGTTGTTTTTACCATATGTGGTGGCCTTGTAGTAAGGTTAAAGCTTACTGGGAAATGATATACAATGAATTGAAAAGGATGTTCAAAATACGGTAACTTTTGTAAAAAAACAAACAAACAACCAGAAGCTTTTCTTTTGGGAATTATAGGGACAGAACTACCTAAATTGTATAGAAATTTATTCATGTATGCGACTACAGCAGAAATGGTGAAACTTACCAGAAGAATGAGAAATCAAGATAACAAACTTTTTATAAAAGAATGGAAATGGTTTATTGAATATTTACAGATAAATTGCAAACAGATAAAAACATTGGCAGGATTATTGCAATAACCTGCAGTTTTATAAGTATATCTTTAAATGAAATTAAATATATTTAATATATTTAATATTTAGATGAATAAATGAGCAAATTAAATGAATCTGAATATGCAGAAGATATGAAAAAATAAATTTAAAGAACTGCAGAAAGGGGTGGAAGGAAGTCAAGTTTTGAAATATTAAATTGATTGTAAAACTGATGAAATGTATAAACTTGAAAAGTATAAATAATTTTTTTAAAAAACAACAACCCAACAGTCTAGGAATATCTAATAGTTCTGTTAGTCGGTCATCAATGTTAGGCTGGAATGCATTATTGTTTTGAGTGTTGCTCGGATCATCTGCAAGAGGAGTTTTACAATACGATGGGTCTCTGTAAATAATAATGCATTGTTCTTCCCATTATATCTTCAAGCCTTTCCCAAGAAGGTGCAATTATAAGAAGACAACACAGAAATGGCACACCCCTGCAAAACCTGCCAAAAGAACCCTGGCACTAAGATATCAGCAACAGGCACGGGCATGCTCAGCCATCAGTACTGAGAGAAAATGATGTTTGCAAGAATAATCTCTAATATCAAAAGCAGACTATTTGCTTTACCTGCTCTTTTCACTCTCTCCGCCTTTCATTCCCGTTTGCACGCAAGCTTTTCTAGAGCTGAAGCTACCAAATCTTGCTGACATGTTTTTATAGCGGCAGAATATGCTGATGGACAAAAGCAATTTAATTTCCATCCAATATTGTGTTTGTTCTCTTGAACTTTGAACGCTTGAGCTTAGTGAATTTCGCCCCTATTGTTTGGATTAAAAAGCACACCTGTCGTCATGCAGAACAAAGGGGAAGTCAAAAGGAAATGTCCATTTTGAAAATTAGCAATATCCATTTTTGCAGCCCAGTTAATCAGCTTCTGATTAAAGAAGATTTACAAGGTGGCTGAAATGTGATTTCTAGAGTACTTTTAAGTCAGTTCCCTATTGACTCAGAAAACACCCACATCCATCCATACAATTATTATTATTATTATTTTTAAAATCTGCACTATTTCATTGGATAGGATACAATGAAAGTATTGAAAATGTGTTCACAATTATTGGTATACCTATCTGTCTAGCCATTGTTGTAGAGATGGACAAATCTGTCAACTTCAATTTCTCTTGGTTTTTCTTTTTCCCCCGACTTCAGTTGTTTGTGTGCATTTTTAAAAAGAATCCTTATGAAAGTCCATCAGCACTTTCGTGCATTTTCCTCCTACCCATTTTTTTACGCAATTTCCCTTAATATACACATTTTTGTGAGAATGTTCCCTGAGGTAATGTATTTGTACATTATTTTCACTATACCCATTTTTATGCAAACTTTCACCCAGTATTTACATTTTTGTACACATTATTGCAGAAGTGCACAGCAACATTTACAGAGGTGCAAATTTCTAAAGTCAGCCAAAGTTTTGGGAAGTGTGTCATTCCAGGAAGTGAAAATTAGGTAAGTTTTAAAATGGAAGCTGAACTGAATTTTTTCCCTCATCTCGACATGTTTAACCAAGGTCCACAGAGCATCGCATTAAAAACTGAGCTGTCTAGCAAATATGTGGCTTATTATAGACATCAATTAATTACAGAGGTAACATTCAGTTTGGACCAATTTGATTAGAGCTAGGGACGCGGGTGGCGCTGTGGGTTAAACCACAGAGCCTAGGACTTGCCGATCAGAAGGTTGGCGGTTCGAATCCCCGCGACGGGGTGAGCTCCCGTTGCTCGGTCCCTGCTCCTGCCAACCTAGCAGTTCGAAAGCACGTCAAAGTGCAAGTAGATAAATAGGTACCGCTCTGGCGGGAAGGTAAACGGAGTTTCCGTGCGCTGCTCTGTTTCTCCAGAAGTGGCTTAGTCATGCTGGCCACATGACCCGGAAGCTGTACGCCGGCTCCCTCGGCCAATAAAGTGAGATGAGTGCCGCAACCCCAGAGTCAGTCACGACTGGACCTAATGGTCAGGGGTCCCTTTACCTTTACCTATGAGGGTGGGAAAGGTGGAAAGAGTCAGTTTTATGTGAGAGTGAGCCCAAAGAGGCCAAGGAAGGGAAAACACAATGCCAATTTTGAAGAGGGGATGATGGTAGGAACCAGATAGACACATGGAGTGCTGACTTTGTTAATGACAAATGAGATCTGAAAGTAAATAAATAACACTGGTGGAAGCAGCCTGGGTAATATGCCTGAGCAGTTAAGAAGGAAATGAAGCACAAGTAACAAACAAAAAAAAGCCAGATTTTGTCTATTCCAAGGTGAAAGGGGGGGGGGAGACAAACTTCCTTGTGAATTCTTGAGGGTCAGAGAGCTTAGCTTTTAGGTAACAAGATGCCTATTTATCTATAAACATCCAGGGAAATGGTTGTGCAAACTAAAAAAAATACAGGCTAAAATGTCTTCAGATATATTTATCTTTAATTTCCATCTGTCCTTTTGTTTGCACAACCATTTCCCTGGATGCCTGTGGATAAATTACCTATTTCCCAAATAGGTCCCTTGCAATCCATCAGATCTTGTGACAGAAAATACAAATCATTGATTTGAAAGTGTTTGGGCTGTATAAAAGACTTCCTTTATCCTGTTTCTGGCCTCCTTATTTACTTCTTATAAGCTGTTTCCTTTAAGAATAATTATTAAGATTTTTCCAATTATAAGTCTTTTATTTGGTTGTTTTTATTGTTGTATGTTATGCTTATTGTAATTCTGTATTGGGGGGGATTATGTTATGTTGTAAATAAAATTTTCAATAAAAATTTTAAAAAATAAATAAATGAAAGAGTTTTGGCTGGTTTCAAATAAATGGTTCAGAACTTGGCATCAAAAGTGGATGCACATTGAATCAGACAGTTTGACAGATGCCAGCTGGATAACCGAATGACCAGAGTCCTGATCTCTATAAAAAAGGCAATGATTTGACCATTCCTGAAGGAACCTGCACCCAGGTTGATGGGGACTTCTGCTAGTGCAACAGAACTTACCCTCGCTTTCTTCCTGACATGTACTCCCCACGCCCCAAATTGGCTTAGGTGGGGGTCAAGGGAACCCAACAGTCTCTCTCTCTTTTTAAAAAAGAATTTTTATTTGATTTTCTGTATTAGAGTTCACATTCATAACACATCTTATTATCTACATACAGGATTCCCTCAAATCCCCTTGACTTCCCACCTCCCCTTTGTGGCTCTTATTACAGTGGTACCTCGGGTTACAAACCCTTTGGGTTACAAACACTTCGGGTTACAAACTCCGCTAACCCGGAAGTAGTTGCTCTGGGTTGCAAACTTTGCCCCAGGATGAGAGTGGAAATCGTGCGCCGGCAGTGCAGCGGCAGCAGGAAGTCCCATTAGCGAAAGCACACCTCAGGTTAAGAATGGTTTTGGGTTAAGAACGGACCTCCAGAACGAATTAAGTTCATAACCTGAAGTACCACTGTATTATAGTTTTCTTACTGCGTCTTTTAAAATCATCTAAAATTTTATGTTTCCATTTCAATCATAAAATCTGTTACATTACAAGTGTTGCATGTTCAGACCCAGAGACATCCCTCCAAAATAAACACCCAATTGACTCAAATTTTAGTTTTGGTTTTTGGCAGAATTTAGGCCACAACTTTATTGATTACAGAAAAGTGAGTGGTTGCATAGGCTCTGGTTCAACTTGCTCCCTGCACCCTTGCAGGTAGCGCTGACCCAGAGTTCCATCATAGGTCAGCCAAGGGTGAACACCTGAGGTAGATGAAAAGCCCAGGAACGGACTCTGTTTGCTCCCCAGATGCTCCCCTGGACTCAGGCACGGGCACAACCCCCTCTCAGGGGTTGACCAAATCAAGTTGAGTCCCTGGATTCCTTTAACGGAATACCCTTCACATAGGGATGGTGAGACCATTCTCCCATCCCTGTCACCTGAACCAGAGCCTATCCCCAACCTTACAAGTTGTGACAATTTGCTACATGGCAGGCGAAACCCAAATGGCAACAGCCAATCAGCCAAGTGGGGAAAATTCCTGCCGTGCCCCTGTCCCAACGACAGACGACACACGACGGCATAGCATGGTCAATCACAAAATTCCCTAAAAGTAGGGTGAGGTGGGTGGGTGTTCCGATGCACGAACTGAATGAGGAAGCTCTGGGTCACGTGCATAGGTATATATAGGTCCCTCGGTCTGTTAAGACTGCACCCCATTGGCCAGATTAAACCCAACAATGAGGGACCTACCAATCAGGTGTTGTGGCTGACCAATATACACACCCACAACCAGGAGATCAGTCTCCATGTCTCACTGCAACACGTGCCCTCTTTTAGGGAGGACACGATTTATTAAAATCCCGCTAAAGATTTTAACTGTTTACAGTGGTTTTTAAGGTAAGTTAAATATTTTCCCCATTCCTTAGTTTTGATCATCTTGGTTTCTGAGTTTCCCAGTCAGTTTTTGCCATTTTGGCATAGTCCATCAAATTAGTCTGCCATTCTTCTCTAATCGGGACTTCGTCATCTTTCCATCTCTGGCTAGTAAAATCTGTGCAGTTGTTGTTGCATACATAAAAAGTCTTTTCTGTTCCTTTGGGATTTCGGTACCTATAACTCCTAAAAGGAAAACTTCAGGTTTGTTTGTTTTTTAATAAAAGTTATTTTAAGCATGTTTTTTCAGTTCATTATATATTGTTTCCCGAAATGCTTTCATTACCTCACATGTCCACCACATATGATAAAAGGTACACTCTTTTTCCTTACATTTCCAACAGAGATTTGATCTTGTCTTATACATTTTTTGCTAATTTGCTGGGAATTAGGGAACCCAACAGGCTCAGTCCACATGGACAATGTAAGGGATTTATGGGAGTTGTAGTCCAACAACATCTGGGAAGCCACTGGTCTACCATCCCTTTTCTCTAAGATCCTCTGTAGCAATTCCATGAACATGCTTGCAATAGCTAAATCTCTCACTACTGATCCAAAGGAGGCTTTGAATGCAAAATTAATTTTTAGTCTAGTATTCACTGTCTTTTGAAGTGTCGTTTAAGTGGCATAATGAGGCTCTGCAAAAAGAGAGAATCCTTCTATTGGCTAGAGGGAATAGATAATCCATCTGTCATTTCTCTCTGAGCTCAGGAATATTATGGAAATAAAGCTGCACCTCATGACAAACATAAAAGACTATTCACAGGTATCACAGATTTCACTAGTTCTAGGGGTTGTGTATACTTTCCTCAAAGCATCTACATGTCAAAGAATTGTCTAAATAGCTATGCAAATTCTCTTTTCCTATCAAATGGTGCAAGCCCCTCCCCTTTCAATGATGCACTGAGAAATATGTGCCTTTTTTTGTAACGTTTGGGCATATTTGTAGCATCGCTTTTCAGAAGGGAAGGAAATGGGGCAGAAAATTCTCACTGTCTCAGAGGAGACGGAAATATTCTTGGATTTCAGACATGAACCCAGAGCTTGTTAATAGCTACAATATTGTGCAGAGACAGACTGGGAGCGAAATTGTCTGCTAGAATCCTGCTCTTCTGTTAGAGATGGGATTTAACACTGTGTTTCTGCTGTTTCAACATGAAACTTTGCTCGGGCTGAACTGAGTATTACAGCTATGCAGGCTAATGCTAT